TGTCACTGTGGAGTTTGTTTAAGATTTGTTTGAATTTTTATGATTTGATTTCAATGTTACTTTAAGGATATTTCTTTTAAGACTTGCACAATTTTTATTACACGTTCAACCTACAAATGTATCAAAAATCTTACACAATTTCAGGCATGTAGGACTAACAACAAAAAGGGAAGTGTATTATACAGACACAACTGTGTTTCGGAACACAGAAATTAGAAGTAAACTCAAACTCACTCAGTCACTCTTGTCTGCGCATCTTCACATTAAGCTTCATTTCCTTGTAGGACTGTACCTTCTCGACTGCTCGTCGTAAAGGTCTTCCTGCAGACACCCTCCTGAGTTCTTGAGCTTCAGTTCTAGATGAAACTGTCATATTTCCTTCTTCGTGTTCGCTTTTGATTGATGAATCATCAGATGACAGTTGGACACTTTCATGCACCTTATCATCGCTTGTCGAAGAAACGAGAAATCTCAATTTGTCTACCTCAAACACATCTTTATTCGTTTCTGGTTCTTGTGCTTTAAACCTAGCAGATTGCCTTCTTAAACACGCCCTGCAAGCAAAAACAAAAAAGAAGCCACATTTTTCCTTTTTCATTGTGAAATTTTCAAATTAAAAAAAAAACACTTAAGATGATTCAGAATGATTTGCACTGAGCAATAAGAAATGTGCAAAAACAAAAACCTTTTGTTGTCAATCCCCTCCTTGGATTGGACTGGTTTGATACAAGGACCACTCTCATACACCTTATCATCACTGGTTGAAGAAACAAGAAATCTCTTTTTATCTACCTCAAATACATTTTCAGTTGCTTCTGGTTCTCTGGCTTTATGCCTAACAGATTGTCTTCTTGAACATAACTTGCTGGATAAAACATAAAGGAAATTTATAGTTTCCTTTTTCATTATGAAGTTTTCAAATTAAAAAAAAAAACTAACGATGATTGGAAATAATTCGCACTAACGAATAAGAAATGGACAAAAACCTTTTGTTTTTGATCCCCTCCTTGGCCTCGAATGGTTTGATACTAGAAGGGCCACACTCAAGAACCTTATCATCACTGGAAGAAGAAGCAAGAAATTTTGAATCATCTAACGCAAATGCATCTTCAGTTGTTTCTGGTTCTTGTGCTTTAAGCCTAGCAGATTGCCTTCTTAAACAAACCCTCCTTAGAAAACATAGAAGAAACTATAAATCTCCTTACTAGTTTTGAAGAACAAAGGAATACATACTTCTATTATAAAATTAATTTGCACAAAGCAATAAAATTGTACAAGCACCTTTTGTTCTCGACCCCCTCCTTGACTTGGACTGGTTTAGTATTAGAAGTGTCTGAAGCAGCATGAAAATGATAAATTACAAATGGCATGATGAACAGTAATAATTTTCAACTTAGGTTTCTGTCAAGCAAGTTACCAAGACAGTATGATTGCCGCTTCTTGTTCATATTACAAGATTTATCTTCTCCTTGATCTTCTTCATGTGATTCATCTTCCTTGCTAAACCTGCTCATATTACAAGTTTTACCTCCTCCATCTTCTTCTTTATGTGATTTAACTTCCATGCCACATTGGTTTGTTCCAAACTTCACATCATGGAAAAAGATGTGTGAATAGCTTGTGATGTTGACAAAAAAATCAATAAAGACACTGTATTTCTATTTAATGCTTCATTTCAAGGTGTTGGGCAACCCCCATTTGTAGCTTTCTTCGGGTGGTAAGCACAAAGGATCCAATAATCAGCAATGGAAACTAATTAAATACCGACTGTCAGCACTTAAATGAAGTAGATATTACAAAAAGTACCTCCAATTTCATTGCTTTAAGCACAGCATTTTTACATCCCAGCTCATGCTTAAGGGCTTTTAGCTGAAAACAAAATAAACTCAATTATCAAGTCCCAAAAACATACAAAAGGACTACGCAATATGAGGTTCAAGAAACTTTAATGTCCTGAAAACTTACCCTATCTTTGCTTAAATTAAGTTCCTGCAAAACCAATGTAAGACATCAACCTCACCAGGAGATCACAATATTATAAAATATGCCCTTAAGAGTTTTAAACTGAGAAAAACAGTTACTAAAAAAAGTACTAAGATACCGCTAACATATGGCTGTTTGCTTGCGCAAGTTGCAAGTTCTGTTGCTGAAACTTTTCCAAATTGATTCTCAGTTTCTGTAATTCAATCCCACTCAATTTGATAACTTTACTGACCAAAATTAAGGTAAAAGAAAAAAGGAAACATAAAAATAAAAGTCATCAAACACAAATACTAGCAAGCGATGGTTAGAAGGGGAAGGAAAAGAAACAAATACGATCAATCATGGAGGATACTTTCGATCTGCAAGAACTTTCATCAGCATCATATTTTCCTGAAAGACAAATTCAATAGAAAATCAATAAGTAAAAGAAAGAAAAGTGAATTGGTAGCTGTTCAAAGTATACCTGTTGAAGCTTGTCGATGAATTCTTTAGTCCCGAGAGAATCAGATTGCAGCAGCAGCAGCTTAGCACCTTGGTTCAACACTTCAGGTTGCTGCTGCAAGTTGGAAATGTCACTAAGCCCTTTCCTCGAAGCACCCATTGAACATCCATTTTCCATAATCTCCACTTTCAATTTACTACCTGGAATGAAATTCAACAAACTCAATCACGTTCATAGAAAACCCAATCTTCCATTCCACGGTGGAAACCATAAAAAATGAACTTCTTAACCTCTACACCAATTCATGTAAATCAAGCTAAATAGGTGAATCTGCATCAAATCAAATTCCACCATTCCAGCATTCAAATAAACTAAATAAAAGCATTATAGTCTCACCAACCAATTCATGAATCTAAAAAGTGACGAAGAGAACGAGAAAAAGATTCGAATGAATCGGGGAAATCGAAAGGGTTAAATTTTCTACAGACAAATTGAGGATGGAAATCAAGAAATAGGGAGGCATTTAAGGGGGGAATCGAAGTACCTGCAACGACGGCGGTTCCGGTGTCGAGTATCGTCAAATTTTCAATTTGCAGAGACCGAGATAAAACCCTAATCCTCACGCTGTCTCTTCTGCTCCCTCTTCCTCTTGATTCAAAATGGGCGAGAAAGTGGGAAAGTGAATATAAAGGGTAAAATAGTAAAAGTACGAGGAGGTTCAGATTCAAGTCACTCAACGGCTTTCCGAGCCTAAGGCCGAACCTGTTTCAAAACTTTTATCTTAATATAATATTGGTTTTATTTGATATCCCTATTATATAGATAGAAAATAAAAGGTTTAGTTGTCAAAAATTAATTTTATATCAACAAAATAATTTGATATTTTTAATTTATTAGAAAATAATATATATATAATTTATTTGTATAAAATAAAATATGAATCTTTATTAATAGTTAGGCCTGTAAATGAACCGAACGTCCAATGAACTATTAGTGAATTGTTTAGTGAGAATTACGTTTATTTATTAAATGAACGAACGTGAACAAGATTTTATGTTCATTTATTAAATGAACGAACACGAACATAGGACTCGTTCGTTCATTTACGTTCGTGAATGTTAGGTAATTCGTTAGTTTATATTCAGTTCAATCTCTAGATCCATTAAAATATCAAGACTCGATCAATTTTAACCTTAAACCTATTAATATTTTAAAATCCAATTAATTTTAAAATCAAATAAAAAATACTCAAATCAATTAAAGAAAATATAAATTTTAAAATTATTCGGAAATAAAAAACTTTTTATGTTCGAACACTTATGTTCTTTTTTCGATCATTTATGTTCGTTCGTTTGTGTTTGTTTATATTCATGTATGTTAGTTCATTTGTGTTTATTTATCATTTTAACGAACGAACACGAACAATCTACATTCTTTAATTAACGAACATGAACAAAAAATTTCATTCGTTTAGTTGCTCGTGTTAGTTCATTTGTTCAGTTAAACAAACAAACATAAACATACATCGTTCGTATTCGTTTGGTTCACTTACATGCCTATTAATAAATTAGCTGACCATATTCCCATATGTAACGGGGTGAGGGGAAGGTAAGGTAGTAGACTACCCCCAACGCCAGGTTGAGAGCAGCTTCCGTAGAAGACCTCCGGCAGTCAGAATTATGAATTGTCCACCGTGAGACTCGATCCCACGACCACAAGGTTAAGAGCCTTGAGCTCTACCAACTAAGCTGGCTCAAATAAAAAATATTGATAGTAAAATTTTATATTAATATAAATGAATATTTTTGTGTCACTATATATATATATATATATATATAACCTTGGATCCAATAAATAAATCGAGAAATATTTATTTTGAATTTTTATAGATTATGGATGAATATATGATTGGAATATTTTGGGTTTTGATATCAATCGATTTAGATTTGATAACATTAAATCATTTTCCAAAAAAATTAAGCTGAAGTCGAATTAGATTAAAATTTAAGATGAAAATTAATTGATTTAATTAAAGATAATAATATAATTATCCCTCGTATATTTAAAATGATTATAATAATATATTTTTTTATTTTTTAATTAGATTTTTTTTATTTAATAAAAATAAAAACTATATATATATATATATATGTGTGTGTGTTTTTATTTCAATATCAAGTTAAATTTTGAATTGATAAATCTTTTTTAAACACAAATTAGATCAAATAATTGATACCAAAATATAATACTCGAATCGAACACATAAATTAGATCAAATAAATGAACAAAAATATAGATAGTAACATAAGTAAACGTCGCCGGAAATATTTTCCGAGCTCGTGAAGCCTTAGCTCTTCCGTGGCTGACGAAGGAAACCCGAAATCTGATTACCCTTCTCTCCATAAAGCCTAGCTATCTCTCATGTACACCATTAGTGCCAAGCAAGGTGAAGAATGGTAGAAGTGTACTTGTCCAGTAAGTCTGTTGAAAAGCTGCTATGGATGAGGTGAAGAAAACCCGAATTAAGGGTGGTCGACAATATCCGAAAGTGTGCCGTTGAACCCAAATCGACTAATTGGTTGGCTGTCCAGAATAACCATCTGAGTATTAGCTGCATGTCCATGAATGTGGTATCCAATCCAAATGAATCTGTCATTTCCTTCCAAACACTTAACAACCTTGTAATTATGACAATGTAAACCCGATCTCGCTAAATGTCGGTGGTTAAAAAATCAAAACTCAAAGTTCCGACCTAAACAGAAGCACCATGCAACTATAACTTGATAAAAATGATGTAAAATTAATTTTTCATCGAGACTATGCGTATAGGAAATGTTCTACTCTTTCACAGTCTGTATCTCAGCAGTGTCTCCGCTTTTCTCACCCGCATTCCATGGTGTCTGCACCGTCACCAACCTTTGGACTCTTCTTCCCATCGATTGTGTCTCCGCTGCAGGCCCGTAAATCGGGATAGTTTCTGTGGTTTAGAGAATGCAACCACAGGCCAACGGTTCCTTCCTCACACTCCGTGGAGGATATATGAGAGTATATAAACTTCATTTTGAATTCCTCTGCCTCTTCTGCATATGCTTTCATAGACAACTCTTCATGAGTATCTTTCCATTTTTGATTATAAGACGAAAAGATGCACTCATCCAAGTACAAACCAACCTCGGGTGCCGTCGGTACGTTGATGTGTACAGCCCTGAAATTCATTAAGATGTATATTAAACGAAAATTTGTTTACAACCATAATCTATCTTGTCCGGATTCATCGTTTACTCTAAAGTACCTATCTTTAACACTTATGTCAGACATATTTGGATTTGGTACGTGGTATTCTCCAAATATATCGATTATCGAGTATATCATGCTAAACACATACCAATACAACAAGCATCCCGAATCCGGATGGCATAGCAATGCAATTGAAAACAAGTACTTACTTTCTCAATGCAGTTTTAATCAGAGACTCGGGAGTGCAATTCCTCATGATAGCAACTGCCACACCGATCATCTTTCGAATCTGATGAAGCATGAAGCTCTGACCCACAGCCTCACACTTCACAAAATCAATGCCCTCAACGGTAACAACTTTGTTTGCGTGAAATGAAACAATATATCGATGTGCAGCAGGATCTTCGGCTTTCATTCTTGTAGTGAAGTTATGGAAGTTGTGAGACCCAACATAGTGATTCAATATTCTATTGAACCTCTCCTTCTCTTCCTCACCATAACAAAACCTTGGTTTTAAAAGGCACTAGGCGCAAAGAGCAAGGTGAAGTCGCGCGCCTTTCATAGACATGGCGCACATTTATTCTAAAAAGTTCATAAATCAGTTCTGGAGTATATTCATACCAACTACTCACGGGTTCACTTCACTCCTAAAGAACTTAAACTCATGTTCTTTCACCATTGCTTGTCCCTTCCTCAAGATCATACTACATACATAATATGTTTTTGGTGGAAAAGGCTGTTGGAGTTTGTTAGGAGAGTTATTCTGGTTGTTGCAAGCTAGACTATGTTGGAGGCTACATAAAAACTTGATTGGTTAAGGGCCAAAAATCCTCTAATGGCCTACATTTCTCTACTTTATATGCTAGTTTTGCTAAACCTAATTGTGTTTGCAGACACCATTCATTTAACTCTTCCACATCCAACTGGATTCATGCATTTTTCACTTGAAGAATGTGCTGCTAACTCTACCATTAATTACCTTGGTATCGGCTATAGATGATAATCATTGTATCATCTCAAAAGTCTTTTATATACCATTACCTTCCTCTTCTATAGCCACCGGAATCTTTGAGCTTCTATTTTCATTTCTTCTCTAATCAACTTCTAAAATCCACAATACAGGCAAGCAGTGGAAGATCCAAACGATGGAAGAGCAAGTAAACTTTATCTCCTATTCTTAAGGCGGCAGAAGCGCGCGCCTATGGGCGCCTCCCGTATCTCGCTTCGCCCCAACCCAGGCGGGCGCAAAGTCCATTGCCTGGCTGCGCCTTCGGCCGAGGTGCGCCTTTTAAAACCAAGAACAAAACTTTTTTTTTCCTCTTTCTTGTGTATTTTATCTTCCACAAACCTACAATCGTCCATTTCGGTAACTTCCTCCTTCAGTTCAGAAGTCGGGTTATATTCCTTAATTGTATTTTCAGCATCCCCAATGTTCGATGAAATGTCGGGCTGAAAAACAGTCGACTTGGCTGCAATAACTTTATCTGCCACAACCCCAGAATCATCCATTTCAGTAACCTCCTCCTTAAGCTCAGATGTTAGTTTATCTCCCTTAATTGCATTTTCTGCATCTGCAATGTTGGATGAAATGTAAGACAATGCTTGTGTATACACAGTTGCTCGAATTTAAAATATTTAAAGAAAATAATTCTCTTTTAACATTTTATCAATAATTAAAATTAAATAATATAATTCTATAATAAATTAGTCTAGAAAAACTAAATTCTAATTAGATACCTAAAATCAAATTTAGGGACTAAATTATATATTAACCCGAAAAACAAGCCCTGAAACTAAATTAACCCTGTCTGTACATGCCGTTGGTTCATTTCATTTCAGACAAAAGTTGTGGATTTATAAAATAAAAGAAGAAGAGAAAAATAAATTTCAATAGAGCTTCATTGATAAGGGACAGGGACAACATAATTAAAAAGAACAGAAGCTTTACTCTCCAAGCTTGAAACTTTAATATTTCTCCCTCTGATCGAAACCTGAAGATTGTTTCTTTTGTTCTTCTAATCGTTTTATCTGGTAAGTAAATTTCCCTTCTTTTTAATTGGAGAAATCGAAGTTCTGATTTCTGGGTTTTCGTTATTTTCTGATGTTTTAATTTGGGTATCGATTATAATGCCTTTTTCTTTTTGATCTTTTGTCTCTTTAGTCCCATGGGGTGTTTTTGTTTTGGTTAAATTGCAGATATTTGTGCTTGTTTATTTGATTTTTTTTTTACAAAAATGAACCCTAGAATTCATTGAATTATCCTGGAAATTCATGTGGGATGATTTGGTATAAGTTGAAGGTTTGTTCATACAGTGAGAAGCCATACGAGCTTAGTAGTTGGCCTTTTGTGGAATCAAATTCTGCACTTTGTGGTCAAAGTTAGGTTTGGGGATTAGGGTTCTAGGGTTCAATGAACAAGGTGTGCGGTGGTGATTGCTGTGCGAATTGGGGATCGACTCTATTGTGATTGTTTCTGTTTACATCACTTTCTTATGGATTGCAGTGGAAATTAAGAAGATAACAAATTTGGTTCATTGATTGTAGAAAGGGAATTTGCCATTTAGCTCTTTTTGTCATCCGAATTTGGATGAGTGTCGGATGTGGTATGTATCCGACGTGAGTTGAGCTTTTCTAAGTTTCTTCATTTAGAGGATCCTACTCGTATACATGTTGCATATCGATATTAGACATGATCAAATAGCCTGGTTTTTTTCTCTTTTAAAACATCCCTTTCTCGACTTGCATTTCGATTCGTGATTTTTGACAAACTTCAGTGATGAACCGCCGTCCACCTTCAACAAGATGAATGGATTCTCCGCGGTGGACGGCTTTGTGGAGATAACTGAATCCCTAGCAGAGATGATCAAGTTCGTGGCGAATGAACCCTCGGTCGGACTTTTCTACATTCAACAGCACACCGAGAATGCCATTCCTAACGTAGTTAATCTCCATGATCATGTTGTAGAGAAGTCTCATGAAGCAACATTACACACCGAGGACTTGGAAGACTCTATCACTATGATAAGATCCATGAAGGAATGCGGTTTCCCAATTGCAGATGAGATGATCAAGGACATCAAGAGCTCGTTAACATTAATGTCTGCAAAGCAACCAAAGAGAGGTCTGATCCACAGCTCTACATCAAGCTTTCAGATGGGAAGAACAAACCCTTGGGGACCAATGTCATGGGGTCCCGGTTCCGGAAATGCACAGTTTGGTGGCAGCAATTATTTTTCGACTGTAATCAAGTCCGCCAAACAAAAAGCAAGCAATTTTAAGTGGTCGCAACTTGATTCCAAGGAACAGATGGAAACCGATCCCCAGAAGCCGCCTCCGCAACCAGATCCACCGTTATCGGTTGCATCTACCAGCACCAGTACAATTCCAGATACAGAAGCTGATGAGCTACCTGAGCTACCTGTATCGAGTCAAATGGCCGATGAAGCCAACGAAGAAGACAAAAAGGAAGAAACCAAAGACGACGTTGAACCTCCACATGAAAAACCACCATTCTTGTCCGAAAACTATGAAGATTTCAAGGCTGACAAAGAGGCTAAATTAGAACAATGGTTGCAAGGAACTGAAGGCAAACATGGATGAAAGCAAGGGAGATTGTGACACAAGTGAGATTTGGAGATACTGTTTTTTTTAATATATACATATGGATTGGTATGATTCATCTATGTTACGTCCAAACTTTTACTTTTTCTCGATATACGATCGAATATAAGATTGAATTGTGCAGAGATCCATTATGAGACAATATTTGTAATGTTAAAGATTCAGATTCTAGTACTAATTAAGTTCACTGTATTGATTCAAACCACATGACATTTTGCCCTTTCTTTATAGAAAACACACATAAGACAATGAGAAATCCAACAAACATAAGATAATACATGGATTAAGTTTTCTGTTCCTCCTTTATTTTATCCATCTCCTCCTCCGGTGCCTGACCCAGCTCTTTCTTTCCTTCAAGTTCCCGATTCGCCAGTAAACTAAGGTAAAATCTTGAAGCCCTAAACTTAATTTGAGGATTAATCTTTACTTTGATTCATGGGATTCGTGGTTTTGACTTGCTGTGTTATCGGATACTCTGCTACAATTTGATTCTCTGTTTTCGATTCTACTGCTTGCTACTCTTTTCACTTTCAACCTGTTAATTGAAATTTCTGATCTTTAATGCTCACCTGATTTTTCTGATTGTAATTTCCGTTCTAGTGTTTCATGATTTCTATTTCCTCGTTTCGGGTAGATATTAATGCTGTACTTGAGCAGTTGTGTCCATTGTTGGGTATATGAATCATGTTCATGCATGTTATTATCGTCAATTGATTTGAAAATAGACAGCAGAGAAGCCGAAATCGAGGGGGAATTATCAATTTTGTCGATGCGTTTTGACCTAATTTGAATCTCTGCTTTGTTCATCTGATTTATTTACTTATAATCATGTTCTAGCATTACATGAATCAAGGTTGCTAGCTGAGCATGAGTATCTGGTCTATGATCCGTGCTCAAAGCACAAGATTCAAATTAACCATTCCTCGAATCGAAAACAGACACTAAAGGTGGTTCGAAATCAATTCCGTTTCGTGGTATCAGCAGGTTCAGTTTGTGATAAATCCAGTGTTGCCTTCCATTTGTTAACATGATGGAGGTGAAACCCAAGGACGATAATCTTCCTGCCGTCACGCCGGTCGACAAAGACGGATCGTTTGTTCAGATAAAGGTGCTGTTCTTCGCCAAAGCTCGAGATATAACCGGGTTGACAGAGCTATCGATGGAGGTTCCATCCGGTAGTACTACACAAGATTGTCTAAACAAGCTCATTTCGAAGTTCCCGAACTTGGACGAGATTCGGAACTGCATTGTTCTTGCTCTCAATGAAGAATATACAACTGTTTCGGCTGTTAAAGACCAAGATGAATTGGCCATTATTCCTCCGATAAGCGGCGGGTGAGCAGTTTCCGTTTCATGTTTTCAAAGGCACTCCATGAATAAAAACACAAACTTCAACCGTATAATGTGCACTTGAATCTGCAATATTTCGAGTCTTTATGTGTTAATGTTTCGATGTTACTACAATCTGTCACTCGGATGTTCGTTTTCTTTAAAATATTTGTGTCCGACATTTATGTTATTTGAACTCGAGTGTGAGTGTGTGTGAGTTTAGATATGGGAATGTGCCTAACATAAATATCTAAACTCTTTTATAAAATTCGAATCCGATTAAATCTTAAATCTTAAATCATAAACAAGATTTGTTTCCTATTGAACCCTAAGCTCCTTTTGATGGAACCCTAAACCCCAACTCATTTGAAATCCCACCCAACACTGAAATTTAGAAGATCATTGTTGAAATCCATTCGTTTTCGTCATCGTCGATCTCTGTCGAACACGATCCTTATACAAATATGACCCCTAAATTAGTTCATTTCGACAGTCAAATCAGGATAGGTTTAGATCGATTTTGAGAGGGCCTTGTCTACATAGCGACCACCCTAGCGAGCGATGGTCGGATTCTAAAAATACGAACATTCCGACGAATGTTCATATTTCTCTTATAGAGAAGAGAGAAAGTAAAGAGAGAACAAAGAATATTTATATTTTCATATAATTTAATCAAAATTATGAATACTTGGAATATCACATCAGTGATATCCGTTTGATCGTTAATCGAGGACAAAGAATATACATATTTTCATATAACTTAATCAAAACTATGAATACTTGGAATATAACATCAGTGATATCCGTTTGATCGTTAATCAACCAACTGTCACCAAAAAAATTTCATAAAAAGGATCAAATTAAAAATAAAATGAATTTTAAATTAAACAGATAAATTTGTTAACAATATATCTCACAATAATTCAAAAAAATAATTCAAAAGAAAATCCATTTCCACCTCAGTGCACCGGTAACCCTGATTCCAAGCAAGTAGCAGTCCATCCATCAGGATCGAGCAACGACCAATGTAGCGACTATAACCCAGGAGACATTCCCCATCCGAGTTACGGAAGACACCGCCACATGATGCATCCGTAGAAGGTTGTCGAACTGCGCCGTCGGTATTGAGCTTGATTACACCGATGTTAGGTGGACGCCAAGGCTGGGACTTGGAAGACCGCGGAGCTGTGAGAGTGGAACCTTTAGGTTGATCCCGAAGAGATTGATCACAAGCCCTGGTAGCTTGAATGACTTCTTCACCGTTAAAGATGAAGGAGCACCTCTGCTTCCAAAGCCGCCACGCTAGAATCCCGAACATGTGTCTCTAATGGTGAGGCGTGCTGTCAGCACCTGTAAAGACACAGAGATTAGTTTTAAGCCAATCAAGGAGGTTAAGGGAAAAGAAACTCCATGTTACTTGAGCTGGAGTGATCCGAGTCCACGCAGCACCGGCCGTAGGGCAGTCTCTAAGAACATGGATAATAGTTTCCTCGTTATGGCCACACACAGGACAGCCGAAGTACATCGTCACACAGGACAGCCGAAGTCCGTCACACCACGAAGTACAAAATATTATCATCCTCGAACTCAGGTGCCCAAAAAATATCAACACTTCCTTTATCATAGTAAAAATGGTATATAAATAAAATTATTACACAATAAACAAATTTTCATCAACTCTTACCTTATTTAATATTACCTCCTAAATCATATTTTTAAAATATAATTAATTTAATAAGATCATGCATTAAGCTCCGATAAAAGTTCGAATTAAAATGTCAATAGATCACAATCTAATAATTATAAAAAAGAACAGGGTAAAATACACAAATGATCTTCCGATTATAGAGTACGACTTTATTAAGTCCCTCAACTGTTAAAAGTTACAAAATAGTCCTTCGATTATAGAGTATTATTTTATTGAGTCACTCGACTATCAAAAGTTACAAAATGGTCACCCGACTATTCATTATGTTTCAAACTCGTCATTTTCTATTAAAAATTTGACGGTTGTCTAGCGTTAACATAATGACTGAGATGTGATAGTCATTTGAGATTTTGGGATTATATTTTATCATATCACAATTAGCAAGTTAACGTTCAACTCAGAATATTATCAATTTTTTTAACAGAAAATGACGAGTTTGGAATACAATGAACAGTCGGTTGATCATTTTGTAACTTTGATAGTCGAGAGACTCAACAAAGCAACATTCTATAACCGAATGACCATTTGTAACTTTTAATAGTCGAAAGATTTAATAAAACAATACTCTATAGTCGGGACCATTCTCATACTTTACCCAAAAGAAAAAACATAAAACGATAAAATGTCGAGAGATCTGTTAACATTCTAAAAATAGAGTTTCAACTTTGTAGGGGAAGCTCAGAAATAAAACTAACAAACCAAGAGAAACAAAATGGTATAAAAAAGAATTGAATTGCTCGCAAATTTCAGAAACCCCTCTGGTTTTCTCCCAATTTGATTCTCTGATTCCATTTATTGGGATCAGAGGATCATCTTCTCTGTTCTCCTCAAATTCAAAAAGAAAATGGAACGAACATAATTGCCATACGATAAACGTTCTTCATTGAAGTTGAAGAACCAACTTCTTGAAGATTGTATTTTTTTTAGTGATTTTAAAGCAATGGGTGTTCCTCAGAATCAAGCAACAATGGAGGGTTGGTTATATACAATACGTTCTAATCGCATTGGCTTACAGTTCTCTCGCAAACGTTACTTCATTCTTCTTAACAACGTTCTCAAGAGCTACAAAGAAATCCCCAGTCATGAGAAAGTGGTAACCCCCTTTTTTAATTGATCCCTTTTACTGCTCATTTTTATTTATTTTGGTTGAGTTATGGATTTTTTTACATGTTTTGAATAGAACACATTTTGGAGAATGGAACATATGTTGTGTTTTTTTTGTTTCTTTTATGATGATGTGTTATTGGTTTGATGAGAATCATGGTTTTCTGGGTTTGACTGAGGCAAATGCATATGTGTAATAAGTATGTTCATTTGATCATGTTTATACAATTGCATATACATATTATGTTTGCATGTTTTTATGTATAGTTTTCTGGATTTCACTGGTTGATTTCTGAACATGCAATGAGCTCATTCAGAATTCACCTTATGATCACATGAACCAACTTAACTCCTATGTTCATTTAATCATGTGTGTGTGTGTATACATATATGTTTGTATGTCTGTATGTATAACTTTCTGGATTTCAACTTTAAGTGATTTGTTTTGAAAACCAAGTTGAACCCAATGTTCATGTGATCATTTTTATGCAGATATATATATGTTTGTATATATATACTTTTCTGGGTTTCATTTTTGTTTAAATGGTTGGTTTTTGTTATCAATAGCCAATATCTCTGTTAATGGCTATGCTTATTATCACAGTTTCATTCTAGTAGTTGGAAAAGAAGAAGAAGAAGAATCCAAATTTTATATCTTATGGCTTTGAGTTCATTTGGTAACTGAATTTAAGACCTTTCTAACTATTGGGAATAAGGAATCTTATCGTGATAAATCACTATTTTAGAAACGAATTAGTCCCTATACGTGTTATCGTTATAAGGAATAAGCGCCTCCTGAGGTTAGCATGATCTCTCCAAGAACTTGTACACCCGGAAAATGGAACGGACTTTGACATTACTGCTATAACAAAGGATTCATAGGAAGGAGCAGAAAGATTCCAATTAACATAGTGAAATGATTAATGCTCAATTTCAAGTACCACTGCCTAACATTTTTCACCACAATCGTGATTATGTAGCTTCCTATATAGATTAACCAGAAATCTACCAATTACGGTCCCATTTAGTTAGTGACAACAGTTGTATCAAAGTGTAATAACCCGAAACCGTTCTTTTGTAGGAGTCTGTTCGAAGTGCTGTAATCAATTCGAGCATTCGGGTTACGGACAATGGAAGGGCGAGCATTAACAGGAAGGTATGATCAGTAAATGATGTTTCCTTTCGATGCTGCAATGTTGATATTTAACGCTTACGATGTGTTCACCACATGCAGGTTTGCTTCGTTTTCACCCTTTGCAGTACTTCAGATGATAATGATAAGCTTAAGGCAAGTAAAACTATGAGCTGTGTCGATTTTGATGTCGAACATATTACTTATGCTACTCTGGCTCTTCATTTTTCTTTAAGTAATCATGTTCAAAAGCTCCAGCTCCGTATCGGACATTCACAATCGAGTCCGAGTAACATCTAGTTAGCAAGCAATTTTCTAAAATTGAAACATTACAGTTAGGTGCAACTAGTTCAGAGGAAGCCGCACGGTGGATTCATTGCTTGAAGGATTCTGCACTAACGGTATACCTTCAATTAACTTAAAATTTGTGACTTTAATGGTTATTCTCAGGATAAAAGCCTTATCTTATAATATATAATATTTTCTTCAGGACTCTTCATGTCGTTCAAAGAATGTTTTACCTTCTCCGAAGAATATATAGTCATCTTCGAGGTAATTATATTTGATAATCTCCGGATTTGTTCTGAGATGCTTGTTTGCTTTAATGATCGATATTCCTGCACGAACAGATCAGCTAATCCGAAGAGCACAGACAACAAAGTCTCTGTCCATTGGCCATTCCACTCATCGGTTAATGCCAACGCAATGACATCCGATGTTGTTGCACCTTCACCTTGGAAGATATTTGGTTGTCAGAACGGTACGGATTTAAGTTCATAATCACATTTTCATGTTCACAAGCGCAATGCATCGTTGACGAAAGGTGTCGCTAATACAGGGTTACGGCTTTTCAAAGAAGCGAAAGACGTGAATTCTCGTGGAAAGTTAGGTTGCTTTTGAACATCATTCATGGATGTTGTACTCGATATTTTCGTTTGGCTGAATAAACTTCTTGTTCCCAGCAGTGGGATGATATTCCGGCGATAATGGCTGTCGGTGTGGTCGAAGGGACCTCAGAGGCCATTTTCCGTGTGATCATGTCTGTTGGTCCATCAAGATCAGAGTA